CAGATATTTGGAGCTAATCGGTCATTTAAGTGTATTCCAGATAATAATAGAAGGTAAAATTTATCCTTTGTGTCATTTGGAATTATTTGCTGGGAAAAATTCTATGAAACATGGTGTACAGCATTCATCTGAATTCACCGATCCAATCAATGCTGTTTCACTAGTTGCTATAATACTGAAACGTTTGTGGATTATTATTTCGTGCTCGAGAACATCTCCCATTATGATTAAGTAAAGGTGTAGTGAAAACCATTAACAGTTCGATATTGGACAATCTAGTACAAACCGGCCACAAAGCCAGAGTTAAAGAATCCTTCTCTAACACCTAACGGGTGACTAATAAGTTGCCAAAAACATTGAAGCACCGCATGCTCCAAACAGCAGAGGCTATTGCGATTCGCCTCAAACAGCCAGTGCTCTGTGTTCAAAAGAAGCAAGTCCAGCCCCTTCTACTACCCTGGCCTTCAGTAGAGACTATGAATTCATGGATTTTTCTGACAGTCAGCTTATTTTATGTTGATGCTGTTGAACTGTAATCTATTGATACTATTGATTCGATATTATTTAAACAACATTAATGTTGTTCATAACACTAATTCATTCATTCACTGTAATGGATGGATATATAACTGTAGAGCCTGATGATGAAGTTATCGAAAAGAGTATTCTTTGTTCATTATCCATTCTTTTAAAAATTATTATTTTGTGTACTTTCAAAATAATTTCTTGTTTTAGTGTTAAATCACTGCGAAACATTTTACTCAAGGAGAATCGTGATTACTTTGGTTCACAAAAGCTATTGGTATCAGAAGACTTCGTCCTAAACTTTGTATACAAAAGATAGAGTGACTAATCTCCCCCTACTTTGATAACGGTGATTGTTTTGTTCGTGTGCCTTTGTGTTTTGTTTTGTTGCATAACATTCGAGTCACTTACTGAGTTAATCTCCCTACTAAAGCATCCGAATCTACTAAATTATCGTGTGTTTCTCACGCTGAAAATTCCATACTTGTACCAAAAATACAGTGTGGAATCAAGCTGTAATCAAAAATAAAAATAAAAGTAAAATAAATAAATAAAATAAATATTCACCCCCCCTTTCCACAACCTCCGTCCGGTTACAAGGCGAGCTCGTTCACCATTAAGCCACTGGGACCCGATTCAATGGTCCTTGAATTCTAACTTCTGCCAATTCACGACATCGCGTGACCGCTAGCCAATGTCTTCGGCGAGTATTTGTCCTCACACCCGACCTGCCGCACCCTACTGGTCACGAATTCAAGGACCATTAAATCGGTTCCCAGTGGCTTAATGGTATACGAGCTCGCCTTGTAACCGGAAGGTCCTGGGTTCGAATCCCGGTGGGTGCGTACTGCTGAAGAGTCCCAAACTATGACGAAACAGCTGTCCAGTAATCCCAGGTTTTCCAATGGTTCTCTAACTAATGTCAGCCCATGATGAAATCCTGTAACTAATCAAATCCCTACAAACCAACATTTTAATACTATACAAATAGTTACTCTTTTAAAACTGAATAATCCATCTACTTACATCATCTTTGGAACTATCTTCCTCATACGTTCTATCTATAACTCGAAGTTACTGTTAAAAAGTATGTTTAGACACTATATTGTAACTTAAAACTGATTTTGTTTAGGATGTACACAGTCGTGTTATCCTGCAAATATGTTCATCCTTTCTTTATTCAATCTTTAAAATCTTCGATTATTGATTTGGACAAGGTAGGGTGATAGAGCCTGCCTGCCTGCCTGACATGAGTCCTTGAGACGCGAAGAATCAACGGCTGCAACCTGATGATGATATGGCTCAAAGTGGCTCATCACTGGCGACAGATAAATTCACTCTTTGTGATTTCATAATTCTATTGAATTTTAATTATCCTTTCTTGTGTTATTATTTCCCCTGTAAATTTACCTTTATAGTAATTTATTTTTGTCCACACCAAGTTCCCATTTAACAATCTGATAAAGTTTGGTCGTTAGGTATATGACACTTATTATTATAAAGGATTTTATATTTCTCAATGAATGAAAAGTGAAATGATTATTCTGTTTCGACTGACATTTCTCTATTTAATGCTGCTAGTACCTTTATCGAAGTGGTAAAATTAAGCCAGAATTTCAAAAATCTCAGCCCACATTATGTCACAGTTTAATCATCGTTCTTCACCATGAGGACATCTTTATGTTGTTATCAAGTTGGTCCATTGATGATAATAACAAAACCAAGTGTAGATTGTTGCATTTGATAAGCATATGAAATTAAACAAGTTCATTTTTGGAGCAACTAGACAGTCTATCTCTTAGCTTTCAGTTTACTTTGGAAACAGAATCGGAGTTTAGTGAGCAAGCAACCATTTGTAGATTGCTCAGGCAAGAGAAAAGACAACGGATATTTTAATATATCTGTATTCAGGGAAAAAACACACTCCAAAAAATATCTAGACTTTGGATCATCACACTCCACCGGTGGAAAGGTATCACCTGCCCCAAGGACTCTTAGATGGATGAACTCTTCAATGATAAAGCATGAGAAGGAAAAAGAAGAAGAAATATCAAACACTACTGAAGTTCTCAAGAAAAATACTGCCTAAATAACTTCATTAATAAATTCAATTATTATTATTATTGTTCCCTTGGGTTCCTAGTGGAACATAGGGCTTCAACTACATGTCTCCACTTGCTTCTGTTTTCGGCTCTACTTTTCACCTGCATCCATGTTAGTCCATACTCTTTCAGCTCCTCTTCACACGATCTCCTCCATGTCACCCTTGCACTAACGTCCCACTCAGCGCTTCCCTTTTGGCCTGGTTCTACTCGAGCAATAGCCTGACGCGCGCGCGATGTCATCCAGCATATTTGTTGGGCGATTGGTTTGTTCTTGTTTTGTTTGTTCCCATAGTTTCTTGTTGGTGATTCTTTCCAGCCGGGCCATCTGATCTTCAGTATGGAGCGAAGACAGTTGTTGATAAGGTTCTGCAACAGACTGCTGCAAATATTCTTTGTGACCCGCCCGCCAAGTTATTGATCCGCATAGAAGAACTGACTGACTTGACGTTTGTATTGAAAATCCGACCGAATTTTGTTGTTGATGCTGGCTGAGTGACGAAGATTAGATTTCCAGATTGGTTTCAGGTTGATGATGAATGTGTTTCTCGCTCGCCTTCCCGATTCTCGATTCTCTTGACATCCTCGTCAGTTCCTCCTGTAGTTTAGACAATGCTCAATGCTAGATAAGTGAGTGAATGAAGTAACCTCTTTCAAATCCCTCCAATTGATGGTTACTGGCACTGGATGTTGCTGTTGTTGTTGTTGCTTGGTTGGTTATTTTCATAACCTCCGTCTTGTCTATGTTCACTTGGAGTCCTGTGTTCTCTGGCTGCTTCTTCGATCGGCCAGTTTGTCGGTCGGTTGTCGCTTGTAATTCTTCGATTTTGTGACAGTGACATCAAACATAAATCATCCACGCGCGAAATCCAGGTCTTCTAGGTTCTTCACATAGGTCCAGGATATCCCTCCCTGTCTTCTCGTTTCCCACTGTCTGACGCATAATCAATACAAACATTAAATATGGTCTAACACCTATTCCAAAGACATGTACCTCAACAGTTGTCATTTCAAATAGATCAGAAATGTGAGACGATATCAGAAGAGTACTCAATCAGCTCGACATTACAGTTTTCTTCAAAACATCAGACACACTTCAAAGCAACCTTGTCCATATAAAACACCAAATCCCTAGAGATGTTCTATCTAATTGTGTCTACAAAATAAAATGCCTTAAATATGATGCAATATACATCGGAAAAACATTGCTAGAGAGAAATCAAGATCAAAAGAAATGAACACCATAGAGCCACATCTGTTCGACCAGTGGAACTAGAAAAGCTTGAAGAATCAACAGCCATAGTTCTACACGTTATAAAATCAGGCCACAAAATTGATTTTAACAGTACTGAAATAGGGAAATCTGGTTGGTCCCCGACCCCTTTAACAATTCCCTAGACCACTTGGGCCACGAGAGCCACCTCTTGTGCAACGGGTCATATATTAATTATTGAATTGAATTCTTGATTTTCCCGTCGATTGATTGGACCGAAGTGTTCGGTCTCAGGTTGACATGTCGGCTTCTTGTGCAGATGCTTCGACGATGTCTGGGGATTTGATTTGTATACAATTGGGGATGGTGGCTAGCAAAGGAATCCAGGATGCACATTTCGTCCTATTTGGGACTCGTCAGCTGGATGTACCTGCATTTCTCAGTGAGTGATGATGTTCCCACCGAGGCTCGAACCCAGTACCCTAGTACCCACCGAGCACTTCGGACCAATCAATCGACGGGAAAATCAAAAATTCAATTCAGTACTGAAATAATCCAGAAAAATTTCAGAAATCACAAAGAACGTCTAGTATCAGAAGCATTTCACATCAAATGGAATCCAGATTGTCTGAATAGGAATGATGAACTGAAACAGAATTTGACCTGGTCGCAACACACCCACTTCAAGTGACAAAATCAACACAAACGTGATAAGCAATTCCATTATGTTAAAACAGGCTCGTTTTATAATTTTATGCACTTATCAAATTCAGCAATCTACACCCGGCTTAGTTACCTTTACTAATTGGCCAATTCGATAAGGTAAATATGACCCCGTGCTGGTGAACGATAATTAAGTCACCTTATATTAGCTGAGATCTTGTAAATTCTGGTTAACTATTACCACACTGATGCATCCGTTAGCAGCATTACATAGCAAATTGTCAGTTTTTCACTCATTGAGAAATAACAGTCTTCTGAAATAATTTGTAACAATTTCATTTGATTTGTTTTTCTACTTTCATTTGTCGTTTTATGAAGTGTGGCAGTTTGAACTTTGTCACTAATATGAGAAGTTCCCAAATGAAAATTGAACTCATCAGTTCAAACTCAAAAAAACAAACCAACTTTGCTTACATCGAATCAAAAGATTTAGAAAGGTTAAGTTTTATTTATCCTAAAAAATGCTTCTTACAAAAATGACCATTAAGCGTCTTTACAATATAAGCCAAAATTGTAATTGAATACATTAATTGTAATGATAAAAATATAAAAATATTACTTTCATTCATTCTTAACATGATTACTAAGAAATTTAAATTTAAAACCACCATGAAACATGGTAATTAGATAATTTAAAGAAATGATCGTTCCAATGTTCAATGATTTTGAAACAGGTTCTTTTAATTTCGAAAATTCCAGTTAATTCAAAATAAGTGTACAAAAAGGGATTATTTTACAAAATAAACTTTTAGTCTATCCCACTAATGTCAGTTATATTTCAATTATTTTCATAATTTCGGCTGTTTTAATTTCGAATAATATACAAATAATATAAAAGTGTTTAAAAAATATTTGTTTTACGCATAATCCATAAGAATTCTTCTTCACTGACCTCTCCATCGCCATCTTTATCAGCTTCATCAATCATTTCCTAATGATAAGAAATGTATAGAAGGTAAGTGGAATTAATGATCTAAAGAACGGTTCACGATCGAAGCAAGTAAATACGCATTTTTGGTAAATTCTAATCAGGCTTTACATTCACGTAGTGAATGAAATATTAGTAGTCACAGGCATTTGAATTAATGTGGTGAATAGAATACATAAGATCATAGTTTAGGTATGTGAACTAACTGATAACAATTAAGGTGATCCTAGTAAAAATTCAAATATAAACCAATCGTGGTTTTTTGTCCATAGAATAATAAGATGCTGAATATAAATCGTGCAATTAGTCACAGTAATAGTAATGGTCGTAATAATAGTGCTATCAATAACAAGAACAACGAAAACCAGAATGATTAAACAAACAAACAATTTTTGAGGTAGACGTGGTAGTCGTAAAAGGCTAAGAAAAACAAATGAACCGATTACGTAATGCCAGATTGTACGGGAAAAGAATAAAACACATTTTAATAAAGATGTGACAAAATTAAGGGATGATAAGAGAGGGGTTGAAAATATAAGTAAGGCGTGGTGGAGAAATCATCAGTCGGTTATGTCTTAATAGGCCGATAAGGGAGGGATAATGGCTGTACGAACTTCTTTTGAATGAGCATAGTTTAGGTGTAATAGTTCGAATGCCTATCGCCTTGCATGGAGTAGATGAATCTGAAGCCTACTGGAAAGATGGTGGGATGCGATGAATTACTTTGAAAGCTCTGGTTTCCTCCACTACATGATAACTATCAACTAAATTTGACAAAATTGAGCTACGCATTGTTTTGTCTGTCCTTTGCCAAACGACGCTGGGAGATATTCAGCAAAACTTAGGCTAAGCTGTTTAATAATACGCCAAAGATAACTCTCACCGCAGGTGCAGTTGAATTGATAAATGCACATAGATGTGGCAAAACTATCTAGCTTATCCTTCGTTTCCTTTCCAATCATTCGTCAGCTAGCGAATGACAAACATAGGTTTGCTGTATGAAACATCCTTCGTATACTCCTGGAAATTATCTGAGACAAAATCTCACTTGACAAGTCATCACTTAACTGTACCTTAATAAATACAGGTTTCTTACGTGCAGTCAGAGTCTCAGATTTTCTCTGTGATGTTTTCATATGTTTCTTTATGAACCTACTCGGATAGCCTATCTCCGTCAAGGAATCATGGATATATTCAAATTCCTTTGTAAGTGGTCATCCGTACATTTCTATCTTGCTCTGCTCGTAAAAAATTTAACCATGTTAAATGCTTAGCCTTACGTAAACGGTTCATTTCCTTTTCTTAGCCTATATCAACTACAACGTCTACCTGTACATTTGTTTGCCTAATCATGTTGTTTTTTTTATTCGTGTTATCACAGATTGCCTCACCTTTTCATCTTTATTATTGATAAAACCACCTGTGGCACAGTGGTAAGAACTCTCACCGACCATGCACATGGTCCAAGGTTCAATCCCCTGCCAACGCACACCTCATATATATGGTTGGCCTGCAAAATTTGGGCTACCGATATCCATGCTGCAAATTCCATACTTGTACTGAAAATACAGTGTGGAGTCAAGCTGTAATCAAAAAAATTATCATAATGATTATTATCATTACCATTATTATGACAAATTGCACAATTTATATTCACCATCGTATTATCCTATTGACAAAACGCCATAATCGGTTTACATTTGAATTTTTATTCGTAAAGTTATGTATATTACAGTTAAGCGTCATGAGATCTAATTGAAAACAGTATTGTTCGCTAAAATGTGGTGTTCTTAATTAAATTAAATAAAATGTGATAAGATAATATTTACAGTTATCCGATATCATCAGAAAGGATAACTATACTAGGTTGGGGGGAAGGCCAAGGGAGGGCGACAGACTGAACAAACTTTTTCTAAACACAGAGATTAGGTTGGGAAATCTTTATGGCAACTGCCTCAGCCATGCTTAGGAGCCGAAGACGTATTAGCCTAGAAGGGTGGGGTGGCACTTTGTATAGAAATGTAAAAGGTGAGCTTTTGTCAATAGATTTGCCAATATGTAACTTCTGATTGACTTTGTGACTCCTTTGCCCAACCACGTTGAATAATGCTTCAGAAGGTGACAGTGGGCCTTCCGAGTCGGTTAAATTTACGAATGCACAGCGAAGTGGCCAGACGCAGCAGCTTATTCATCGCCTGCATTGAAATTATACAGCGAGTGTCGCATTTTATATACAATGTTCCTGCAAAAGATGTTCTAGCTATTATTTTTCGAAGTCTTTTAAATGGTGAAGTCATACAAATGAGTTCCCCGGCATAGTTTGTTGGCATTTCTCTCTATCTGTTCTCCTCATTGAAACTTTAACAATTTTTTCATAGTAACCGTTCTCTAATAACAGGTTTCCTATTTCCCTTATTTCGTTTTCCAACCTGCTGGTTATACAGATATTTCTAGCAAGAAACATCAGGGTACTGATAAGATACTCAGAAGAAGAAGTAACTCCATAAAGAAAAAAAGATTATAGACTTCTACGAATACCTGTCTTTGCTTAATACTGAAGATTAGATGACTAGAAAGCATGAGCAAAAAGGAATTGTAGCAAAAAACCAGTTGAGAACCTATCACCTAATAAATATGCATAAAGAGATGCAATAGGATTGGATACCCACTGAGGAAAACATTGAGTAATACCAAACTCTGAAAGCATGGCATCGAGTGGACCTCTACTGAGAAACGATGAGTTAAGCGTCCGAGCGTAACGTGGAAGAAATCGTGTGAGGAGGAATTCAAAGTTTGTGGATAATCGTGGAGCAAGCTGGTAAACACTGGAGAGAATGGAAAGAATTGCATATGGGCTGTCGAATCTCCGTGTTCCACTCAAAACTCAAGGTAATAATAATGACCCACAGGTGAAGTTAAACAATAGATTAAGTTTCAGATAATATGCTCTTGCGGCTTGTGTTAACCCTTGCAAATAATTTATTTTTGAAAGAGTTCACCGATGAAGCTGACATCAGTGAATGATTAAAAGGTTCCAGACTTTTCCACTCCGTGAGACAATCTAAATTCTTTAAAGGGTAAATCCCGTGGGGCTGAATGACCTGACATGAATAGTGTTCACAAGCTGATGAATTCGTCGTTAATATATAACCATATAGCCTGAAGAAGAAGTTATAAAAGAAAATTGTTCGCTCAAAAATCATTTGTTCAAGTGTAAAACTGCGTATTAAATAGATGAAACAGTAGTGTTAATCAGAATAATGTAGAGCCATACTCCACAGCACATTTTGTGTGACCAAGAATATTACTGTGACACTTCATCTAAGTCAGTAGATTTCTGGAAAACGCTCAACCAAGTACATTTCCTGGACACTCTGGTCTACTAAACAATAATGGTGGTGATTCAACTGACATAATCCTTCGTACGTTCTGCATCTCTCCAACAGCTGATAACAGTATTGAGTTTTCCATCACTTCACATCTGTGAATAAAATTCTCTAGTCCGCTTCTCAGTTTGGGAACCCAGTCCCTGTCAGCACTTCACTGTTCCTGATCTTTCAAAGTGCTTCCTCAGATGAAGACATGAAACTTTTTGCGTAGGAAATACCAGCTATTTCAAGATTAACCACTATACCCATGTTCATGTCTCGAACTGTCTCTTACATCTTCACAGGGTTAAAATACGATGTTCCAAAGCCATACCAAAGGAATTTGTCTGTAGTTTAGACACGAAACGCGGATGTTATATGAAATGTAATCTTAGTGAAGCTTCCAAAAGTTTGTATAGGTAGAAGTTAAGTACCACTGCATCACCGATAGCACGTTCTGTGATTCATTGGGTAGTAACTTAAAATAATAACAGGCTTATCGAATTGCTGTTCTTATTACTGAGTACTGAAATGTGTACTAAAATGATTGGACCGGGTTTCCAACTAACTTCTGATGATTTACAAGTAAATTTCTACTGACTTCGACAGCTGAGTGCTCGTACAGTAGCTGTTTGACAAAAAGTCACCACAAAGACTTCATAGATTTCAGTAAAATGGTAATCTGAACAGAAGACCATAATTAACTATTTCTCCACTTCATTACCCTCAAAAATGATATTCTCTGGGTTTAACTGGTGTAGTGGCATAAAACATAAAGGATTAGCTGATGGGCAAACCAACGCCTTACATGTAAGCGGAACACTTCGTGTAAATACAAATGAAATCATATTGTTTAAGTATATGGTTTGCGAAGTGCAGAATAACATATGTCGAACAAAAGGAGTGGTTGGTCTCCGAAACAAACCATATGATGAAAGGCTGAAGAAATTAGGCCTGTTCACACTTAGTTACCGTCGGCTTAGGGGGGATTTGATTACTGCCTACAAAATAACAAATGACCAGAATCACCCAAACAAAGGTGTTCTGCCATTGAGTAGGTATAGGCTTCCACGTGGAAATCCCAGAAGGATAGCTCACCAGAGGGCAAGGACACGGGTGCGCTCCCACTTCTTTTCACTGCGGGTTTGTCGTCCCTGGAATTCCTTACCGGCAGATGTAGCTATGGCACCGTCTTTGGACGCCTTTAAGCGAAGGCTGGACAACCATGCAGCGACACAAGGACTGCATCCAAATGGCCTATCTCCTTAAAATCGCATTTACCAATCAGGGTAGATAATTAAACTCGTCATTTTACTTCTTTACATTCTCTCCCGTCTTACTCTCCTGACAACTTATTAATATTATAATTACTATTATTATTATTACTATTACCGATATATATATTATTCTTCAAACTTCAGGAGCTGACTGTTGTTACGTTTCCTATTTTCGTTTCTGTCTCTTAGTCTGAATAGCTTCACTAATTATATCTATTATTATTATTACTATTATTATTATTATTATTACTATCTCTTTTCTCTTGTCGACGATACCGAAGGACTAACTGGCGAAAGGATCAACTCCAATCACAGTAGTAACAGTCTTAACATACCTCATACTGCAAACCACATATAATTAATCCCAGCACTACTCCCTTTGGAGTCAACCAAAGCTACGACAGTCGAGTGGCGGGACAAGCTACGCAGAAGTTTACCGAAGATCAAGAAACTATACCTCACAATCAAGAGGCGAGCACAAAGAAATCAAATTGGTTTATACTAGCTCGTAAAAACGATATTGGATATTGGAATCTCTCTGAATAGGCTGATAATCACGAAATTAGGTTAAAAGCAGAGTACGTGAAAATGCGGCCTCCCACATGCCCATTCTATATTAAATGAGCGAACTGAACCTCATGTATTAACCGTACCTGTAGCTCTCATCATTTATGTCCTCTCCAAGCAGTTGCGCAGCACGTTTTAGCTTTGAAAGTGTCAGCTTCCCCGAATCGTCATCGTCGCATATCCTAAAAGCCTTTATAAGATCTGCCTTCTCGCTTTTTTCAGTCATTTTCAGCGTCATAATTTCCAAAAATCCCTTGAAGTCGATTAAACCTACATTTTGTGTTATAATTCAGTAATTTTTACCTTTATTATCAGGGTCATGTTCCAAAACGAGCTGTCTAATATCAGCAGCTGTGGGATCAAAACCCAAAGCTCTGAGGGCCACCTTTAGTTCTCTTCCTGTAATTAATCCAGATCCTTCTTTGTCAAGAAGTTTAAAAGCCTCCAGCAAATCTCTTTTTTGATTTGTGTTCAAGATAAGCTTAACATCTGTTTTGGACTTATTCTTTTTTATCTTAGACCCTGAAATATTTCTGATATTAATTATAAACATGTCATATAGCTTCTATACCTTGAACTGCTCATTACTATTATCCACCTGTTTTTGTTAAAATGCTAACACTTTCAAATTAACATCAGCTACTTTCACTAATGACATCAATAATTAAAACAACACTAGTCACTGAGGATCCTGTGTCCAATACCGGTTTTTTACGAACTAGTACAAACCGATTTCGCTTCTTGATTGTCAAATAAAGATTAATGGTCTTCGGTAAACTTCTGCTTAGTTCGTCCCGCCACTCGACTGTCGTAGATTTGGTTGGCCCCAAAAGGAGTAATGCTGGGATGAATTATATGTTGTTTTCTAGTATGCAGTGTGTCAAGACTGGGTTGCTACTGTGAATAGAGTTGATCCTTCCATCACTTCAACCTTTGCTGTCGTCGAAAAAAGAAAAGACATAAGAATAACATATATTTGGTGTAGGTTGTGTAGAATAAAACAAAGAAAGAGAATGTGAAAACAAAAAGCTAATGAGACTTAAGGTTATGTCAATAGTACATGTACACATACATGTATATAAATATCAATAATAATATTAGTGTGAAGGTGGTAATAGTTGGAGCAGTCGCGAGAGCAGGAAAATAGAGAATGTGAAGAAGAAAAACTGAGTTCAGATATCTGCTGATTAACAGTGTATGGAACTTTAAAAGGATGGGATGTCCGGACGCAGTCCTTGTGTTGCTGCTTGATTTTCCAGTCTTCGTTTAAAGCTGTCTACAGACGGTGCTATAACTACATCTGTCGTTAGGGTGTTCCAGGGATGGCAAACTCGCAGTAAATAGAGGTGGGAGCACACTCGAGTCTGTGCCCTCTGGTTAGCTATCTTCCTGTAATTTCCATGAGGACGCTTATGTGTACTTAATGGCGGAGTGCCTTTGTTTGGGTGACTTTGGTGAATTCTAATCTTAAGGATAGCAATCAAGTGCCCCTTAAGCTGTATGGTAGCTAAGTGTGAAAAGACCAATTTCTTTAGCCGTTCATCATGCGGTTTGTTCAAGTAACCTATCTCACCTGTTTTCGCGCGCCTTTAAACTCCCTCCTAAAGGTTCACTTCCCTTCCAAGCAATGGGGATGCAGTGATTTTGTGCACTTTAAGATTTGATCTAGCGGATGTTTTATACAAACTTATAAAGACCTCAAGGGTGAGTGAGCCTGTCTATGTGTAAAGTGTGTGACCGCATATGTCTTCGCTACTGCCCCCATGTAATTAACGCTTATTTCCATTTTTTCGTTACAACTAGACCTAAATCACGCTCCGACGCTGTGCAGGAGAAGCCTCCGTTGCACAGGATGTAATTTGCATCCTGCAGGTGGGTAATTTCACTACTTGTACTTTTTCAGGTTTAAAGTCATACCGGTGGTTACCATCCAGTTTTCCAGAAGCTTAACGTATGCCTCCAGCCTATCTGCATCTTCTAAAACCTTATTTCTCTCCAAATCTTCAGGTCGTTGGCGTAAAGAAGAGTTGGGAAGCCTACGTGGCATAGTAGGTCACTGATAAAAATCAAAAGTATCAGTAGCCCTGGGATGCAGCCCTGCAACATACCTGGTGACGAGTTGTGCCAGGAAGGCCACTTTAAACATGATAGATGCGGTATGACATTCTTGAAAGTTTAAAAACGGGGCCAATCAGAACCCATCCACTTCCTTGGCCAGACTTCTGACGAAAAGGTTATCCGCTATTTTACGCGGCAGATGGTAGCGATTTTTCACATTCCGTAACTGCCTTAATTCAGCCATTGACAGAACATTCTCATGAGCATACTGGAACAGTGTACCACGGTTCACCCGCCAAGAGCTCTTTTGCAAGGTGTTGCGGCCACTGCAGATACGAACTAAACGAAGATAAGCACTTGCACCCTTCAAAAAAATAACCAAGCCGGAATACCGAAGAGTTTCAAATAGAGTTACGTCAAAAGTGAAAACGCTGAAGACGCCTCGACGGTGTTCTATTCAGGAAATACACCATATCACCAACCCCCAGTTTTGTGTATACGTGACCTCCAAACACAAAAGAACTCAGTGGTTTTACGAAACTGTCCACGTTTATAATGGGAAGGTGAATTCAAACAAATCATATGCAAAGTTCAAAATGAGCAACAGGATTCTACAACTACATTAAAACACTACGTCTCACCTCAGGCATCCGCCACATCCCTCAAACGCCCTGTTGTGCAGCTCATCCATCACCCACAGTGGTAAAACAGACTTTGTAAAACTGTTATAACTCCAAGAAGTAGGTAGAGACGTGTCACATAAATAAGTGACTGCCTAGAGCGTTCAGTGGCTTGCACACTATCTTTAGTTGGCCTGGACTCCACCTCAGCTCATTAGTGCAGACTCCGAAGCATGCAGCATTCTTAGCTACTTCCAGCACCTGTTCCTCGCTGTCTGACTGTTTGTGCATTATTGATATTACCGAATTGCCACCCAAGGAGTGAATTAAGGGACGAAAATAAGTCTCGCCTCAGTGGTCTCAAGCAGAGCGGAGTGGTACTTTACGTTTATAGATGCCTGCAAATTCGTTCTTTGAAACAAAAGGAACGTGACAACTCGACTGTGAAAATGGTCACTTGCCTGGAGAACATGCCGTTCATCTGAGTGTTTAGGAGATGAAAGTTACATGCACCGTAGAGGATACAATCGCATATTTCCCCTTTTTAGCACGTGAGGGACGCCAAATTACAGTCATCTTTAATACGTTAAATCATAGAATATACAGTTAGCGGACTAACGATTGACAGTTGCCATTGGAGTTTATTTAAACAATGACATAAGCAATATAAAAATGACGGAAATATGTCGATTCAACGAGTGCCACAACAGCATAATCTTGAACGTTTTGCGCTGCGTGCGAGGTGCGAATGACGTTTCCCCCACTTACCACACTGATACTCAGCAGTGTTTTCTGCAACCAGCTGTTCTGCAGGTTTAGAAAAACTCACCTTTTTCGTCACTGTCTCCATACGCAGTAGGCATGTAGAAGGTGTTAAGGTTTTTTGACAGCTCAAAATTAAAACATTGGCCTAGATCCTTAGCAAAATAAAAACAAGGGTTGTAAAGATCTAAATTATACAAACAAATGCCTTTATTCTTGCCATCTACAAGCCTGCCCAGCCTTTTGTGAAGATGCTACCTCATGGGTCCTACAGAAGTTCGTGAGACATCTTACAGGTCAGTTTGCCCTACGGGTCCTAATCTAACAGAACACTGAATTCACTTCTAACCAAAATATCGCTTATCACGATAATCTTTTTATTTGCGTACTATTATGCTCCATTTTATCTCGACTAACTAGGCCTTTATTAAGGCTAAAACTTACTCCTTGTTCATATTTGTTACTTCATTAAAGTCCGGTCGCTTTGATGATAAACACAACAAAACCAGTGTTTGGTCAAAGCTATATTTTCATCGAAAACGTCATAGTTTCCATGCTTAGACCAAAATGGCTGGCATTAAACATTGCAAATGTATACTTTCATTCAAAGGAGCCCCCACCTCCTTCTTGTATATATCTTGTAATTGTACTTTCAATGATGTATCGTTCATTATTGTATTTTCTGCCATTCTGCAATTTTCCAGGACGTTCTTCCTTGCTTGAAATAGCCTTCATTCACGTGGTGGCATAGAACAAATATACGGTGTTCGCTGATTGATCATAACTGTCACCATGAAAAGAAATTTAGCCTGAGTTGTCGCTTAAATTTGATGGCAAAGGGTTTACAATTGAACACATCTAAGAACCCATTTTGATTGCTTGTACAATAATTGAACTTTTAAACTTTTGCAATTCATAACACAACCAGTCGTACCTGTAAAAATGGCATGATTTCTTGTAAACGCTAGTTTATTCTTTTATTCCAAATGAAACATGAGGCACCAAGCTAGAGGCCTGAAGTTTCTGTAGCAGTGGTGATTATTTTTACAGGATGGGGTTGCTAGCTTCATGTCCAACCTTCCCTCTTTAGCAGTCACACCGCTGTCTTAGCAAGGTAAAGAAGCGCGTCACAGTCGTCCTTTAACTCTCTCCGGATTTTCAAGTCATCTACGTATAGGACAATAGGGGAATCCGTGAGAACAGATAGCTCATCGATATACAACATAGATAAGAGAGGTTGGAGTGCTGTGATTTGTGGCACTTCCCTACGTACTATTGTCCTGTAAGAGACTTTTGAGTTGAACCTGAATCTGTCCCTATGTCTCTTCGCTATGTGGAATTTAGTTTCGTAACCTGCCTTTGCTTCCAATACTTTCCAAATTCTTGAGTAGTCTCTCGTGGGGAACTTTATCGGAGGCTTTGCTGAAGTCTGTGAAGAGGACGTCAATGGGCCTTCCCATGTCCCTGAACTTGACAAGGCCTCCTTCTGCGGTAGAAAGATTTGACAAACATGAGATGTTTCCTAGGAGGCTATACTGTGCTCCGAATGACGATTTTTTGTTTTCCATATATACCATGATACTTTTCTTGATATTTTTTCCAGTATCATGATTCAGGTGCTGGTGACACTACTCGGTCCGTAGTGAGAGCAGCACCGACCTAATCCTCCTTTGTTTATAGGGTCACAGTGTAGTCTTTCCAGTCTGGTGGTAACACTGCAGTCAGGAGTATGAGCGTGAAGATAGTGTTCAGTGGGCCGTCTATGTGTCCTGATAGCCCCTTGAGAAGCCTTGGATGAAGATTATGAGGACCCATTGGTTTCCCTGTGTCTAGTTGCCTTAGGCAGTTGAGCACAATGTCCTGACCGACTGTCAGTCAGGTCTCATAAACCGTGAATGACCAGCTCTTGCTACGCCGGGCCTCACGCTGTCCCTCGAAGATTTTCATAAACGCTTAGTATTAACCGACGCAAAAACCAAAACACTGTTTGGCGACTCAAGAATTCTTTATTCTAATGCCAACATATAACCAGCAATACTGTTTTTACAGAGTAAGGTCTAAGAACAAATATTACAACAATAAATCACGATATTATTTCCGACAGTTTTTTAATCTTCCTTCTGAACAGCGAACGATGAGACGATGACTGTCAGATTGATGACCCGCGAAAATTATGGGGAAGTTGGGTTTGAGCAAACAA